GGTATTTTAAATCGAACTCGGATAGATTCACACCGTAAAACTATGTATGAATCTCTAAAATAAAGAGCTTTTTAGTAAATTTGAAGGAAAAAAATACTTTCAGATAAACACTAATTATGATCGATTCTTCTGAATAAATTGTCAATAAATAATTTTATACAAAACATAAAAGGATGTAAATGTTTGTGTTTCCTTGACGTGCAAGTCAAAGAGACTTTCGGTGTTAGAAAACATGGATATTTCTCATGACGTGATGAAAGGTTTGATACGGATAGATGTCTTTCAACACCTAAATTTTCATCTATCTTCCATGTGGTGTGAGGTGGAGGGAAGTCATCTGTTCTCATTGAATCTTCTATCATGTGGTTGAGACGCAAGTCAAAAGCTCGCATCTTATCATGTTGCATGAGCGCAAGTCAACGTGATTAAGACACATATCTGTCTCTTGGAGACTTCGATGTATACCATGGTCAAAATATAAGATGTGAGGGTTGTTTGATTAATATGTGAGACTTGGTTGTTTGAGGAATGTTGGAGATTTAGATTTGAAGAGTTTAATTATGAAATAAAAAAATCAACTCATGATAAAGATTCAAGAGTTGAATGATTCATTAACATGGAAGATTTTATTGATCAGTCAATCGAAGTCACATTTGCTCAATTATTATAATAGAAGTTCCAGTTTATTTATTAATAATGTAGTACGTATATACATTTTTCCACCACAAGAAGAGTAGTTGGAACTTTCACATGCCACTTCCTAAGTGTCAACATCGATTTAGATATATGTTACATTTATCAACGTTATAGAACTAACTTTCTTCTAGATAACCTTTGTCACAAATTTAGTATCACGATGAAATGACTTAATCAAATGATCTTCATAAAAAATAAATCAGAAGTATGCTCAATAATGACCCATAAATGCATATGTTAAAGTAATATTTTTTACTTAAAACTTATAGTGAACAAGTTAGAAAACTAAGTCAAGGATACATCCGAGAAGTTATGATGTATGTAACTTGAGGTGCAATAACCTATAATAAGAGCTTATTAGCCAATGAGTTTTCAAGGATCATACCTACCTAGAGTCTTTCATAGTAAAAATATGTAACTATCTCCATTTAGTAGATAGTTATTTTGTAATGAATAGTTTTACAGGAAATAAGTTAATTAAATTAAATAAATAAAATAAAATAAATCTCATTCAATTCAAATCCGACTTCAAAAACTCTTAAACACTTTTTTACATATATTTTAAAGTACAATCCTATAGATAAAACTCAATAATACTCACCCTCTTTAGGATCCTGAGATATATAAGGCTTGTATAAAACAATCAATCAAATCATAACTGCTAGGGATTTGTTTTTTTTCATATTTGTAACTTTTTTTGTAATGTTGTTCTTCATGTAATTTGAGTCATATTAGAACTTGGTAATGACGACAAGTAATTCATAGATATTTGCTATCCAATTAAGTCTGAGTTTACTGCATTCAATTTTTGATGTCCTCAATTCGAGATGATTTGGTAGGACACTAATTGACCATCAACATGTCACCAACAAACAGAGTGTGTGACAGACCATTCTGTGAATATAATATTTTTTATATATAAATGATCTAAAGAAATAGTAACACTAATAACAGTCTGTTCTTGTAATTGTGATTGTTATGAAAATTCAATGGTGACTCAAACAAAGCCTCGACTTACACCAAATTTATAATGGACAAAGAGAAAAAAAACACCCATGAAAGATTGTTATATGTAGTCGACACCAATCCAGCAACCATAGAGGTTGTCGATTTGTTGGAAGAGAGCAATCCTTCTGCCTCGTTTCATGATCACTATACCAATAGAAACCCCACAAGACAACTATGAATCCCATGAGGATACTAGCAACATCTAATATTATTGTTTCAAGCTTGTCACCATCATCATCTTCTTCTTGTTTGACTCCAGCAACACCAAAGCAGCAGCAAATTTGATAACTTATGCATAGCATTCCAATAACACATAAAACAAAGCTCTGCATGTCCTGCAAAATGTGACTTCCAGGAAAAAGAAACAAAAAAAAAAAAAAACCTAAGACTTAAGTATGCCGAAACAATCACACATAACATAAAATGTTGATTTGTCAAAAAAAAGTTATTCAAGAAACATAGAATATCTTTCTTAAGATAATTATATAATCAAATATCTCGAGTTTTAGCACCCGAATGATGGGAATAAGCAGTCTAGACTATGATAGATATGAATTTGAAAATGTATTTATTAATAAAAATTTACTTCTAGAAAAATTTGATGGATAAATTTGTTTGGTCGAACATGGATTTTATTTTTTTCAAAAAAATACTTTTGTAAAAAAATGGATATATAAATTGTTAATAATGAACTTTTTTTAAGAGTGAGTCTCATAGTAATATGAATTTTGAGGATGATCAAAATATATGATCTCATCTCAGAAAAGAAAGATTCGGTACTTGAATAAAACATCAATTTTGGCCAAATACCAAGAGCACGTCCACAACAATGGTTACAATTTTATTGTCTAATTGTATCATTAGAGCATAATAACATGGTTGATTTATTTTTTTATTGTGAGAACAATAACAGGAGAAAACAATCTCTATGAAACAATGAAATTTGTATATAATCTCAAGAAATATAATTGATTTTGGTAAAAAAAAAAGGGACCAACAGAGTATGACAGACACTCTTGCAGTTAATCTTTTAGTTGTCAGATATGTATCAATCGATAAGCGAAGGCCAGACGATAGCAAAATGATGATAGATGGAGATGTTATGATACTAGAACTAATACATATAACGATTATAGACCATCTATGATGCTTATTTCAGTTTAATCATGACAGCATAATATGATAACATCATTACACGCTAACACAAGATTTCGATGTGACTAACTACAAAGGACAACATGAGCACTTACCCACAGTTCATGTCATCGTTTGCCATTTGGATTTGAGCTTCGTCAGCTTTACTGCAAACTGAACATAGATCCAGTCGCTGGCCTTGTCGATCCATCGGAAGAAAGCGAATCTGATGGCCTGCTTCATGATGAGCGTGCCAATAAACAGCCAAAAGCCAACCACAAATCCAACCACAATACTGGTGTACTCCAATAATTTGTCGAGCTTCTCATCATCTTTAACTCTGGCATCAGGTGGAGTTTGATAAACAGGGCAATCTGGCAGTGGCGTACCGCAAAGGTCTTTGTTACCCACATATGTCCATGAGTCAAAGGTCGACAATTGACTACTCGTGGGTATTTTTCCTGATAAGTTGTTATAAGACAGATTCAAACGGGCCAGAAAACTCATAGCAGAAAAGCTTGAAGGTATCTCCCCTGTGAGATTGTTCACCGATAAGTCAAGTGATTCAAGCTGTTTCATGTCACCCATCTTTTCTGGAATCCTCCCCGTCAAATGATTGTTGGACAAGTTTAGAAAGCGCAATCCGAGAAGCTTGGTCATTTCTTTTGGGATTTCACCAGAGAGATGATTATTTGACAAGTCTATACTTGTCACCAGCGAGAGAATGGTTGTGTAATCGACCATTGATCCTTTCGTTGTTAATAAGCTGCTCTCGATATAAGTATAGTTGTTATCTTGGAGCAATGGCCTGGTATCATTTTGTACCTCAACCATGGCATTGAAATTTCCTAGAGATGATGGTAGGCTACCAAAGAACTTGTTGGAAGAAAGATCCAAAACCTGAAGAGAAGTGAGATCTCCTATGTTCTCAGGGATAGTACCATATAATAAGTTTGACCTCAGACGAAGAACCTTCAATGACGAGTGGTTTCTTCCTATCCATGTGGGAATTTTACTAAATAATTTATTTTCACCTAAATCAACGGTAATTAAATTGTTACAGTATTTCAAAAATGAAGGAATCGTTCCGGATAGGTTGTTATTATTTAAATGCAAAGATTGTAGAAAGGTTGGAAATGAGTTATGACAATTCGGGATTTTTCCAATTAAGTGATTGTTAGATAGGTCGAGAACTTCAAGGAAATTCATATTACAAAAGAAGGAAGGGAAATCACCATTGATATGATTATGTGACAAAGATAACAAAACGAGACTTGCACCTTCTTCGAAGCTCGATGGAATAGGTCCGACAAATGAGTTGTTGGAGAGATCCAATATGAATTGGGGAGGAGAAGGTAATTGACCAGTCAAATAGTTGGAGCTCAAGTTAAGAATTTCCAAACCTTTTGAGAAATTTGAAAACCAAATAGGGAGGCTGCCTGAGACTCCAACTCCGGATAGATAAAGACTCTGCAATTGTTGTTGAGTCTGAATCCAAGTAGGAAATTTTCCTTGTAGATGACAAAAGCTCATATCGATAATGGAGGCATTAAATGGGGGCCGCCAATCATTCGGTAGCATGATATTCAAGGAGTTGGAAGTGATTATCAATTCTGATAAGCTCGTAAGATTTAAAAAGTGTGCTTCGGTGATGTTGCCTGCCAGCGAGTTTGAGGAGAGGTCGACCTTATGTAGCTGAGATAATTGGCCCATACTTGAAGGAATAATCCCGCTCAAATTGTTACCCTTTAGGACTAAGGATGATAAAGATGCACCTTGTGAACAAGTAGACAAACCATAGAATAGATTTGTAAGCTCTCCACCAATGTTATTGCGAGACAAATCTATTTTGGTCAAATTGCATAAATCACCCAATGTCGTTGGTATCTGACCTGATAAGTTGTTATATGACATGTCCAAGTATTGCAAGCGATGGAGTTTACCGATCTTCTTTGGTATCTGCCCAGAAATATGGTTATTGCTTAAAAATAATTCCTCCGTATGGATGAGAGTACCCAAAGTCTCTGGAATGTATCCGCTAATATTATTCCTTGATAAATCTAAGTGTACCAAGTTGGTGAGGTTGCCGATGCTCGGTGGTATCCAACCGACAATATTATTCCTTGATAAATCTAAGTGTACCAAGTTGGTGAGGTTGCCGATGCTCGGTGGTATCCAACCGACAATATT